GCTGAGCGTGGTGCTGACAACACCAAGTCAAGGGTTAAGATCCCCTTACTGGTCATCTTTTGAAAAAAAAAAAAAAAAAATTATAACCCTATTTTTGTTCTTTATTCAGGACCTTGCAACCAAGGTATTACTGGAGTATTACTTAGTATTGATATTTTCCTTTGTTTTTAAAGGTGGGATATGAACCTCTTCCTCCAACAATAGGACGAAATATTTTTGGGCGGCAAGTATGTCAGCTTCCTGGCCTCTTTTGTTATGGTAAGTGTCTTTCATTTGTTTAGGGTTGGGTGAAATTGAGGACTATGACAAGAAGGAGTTACTGAAAGAAAATAAGTAGCAGGCATGTTTCTTTGAAATTTCTATGTAACCATTTCTTTGGACTAGAACTTAAATCTATGATTTTTGTTCTTAGCCCAACACATTGCAAGCATCGACGGGAGACGTGGGTTGTTCACAGGCTTAACTCCAAGACTGTGTTCAGGAGTCCTTGGAACTGTGGTCCATGGTAAAGTTTTACAGGTAAGAGAGAAACCAATTAATCTTCTCATAGATTTTGATTATCTTTTATGCACAGTTTATTCTACTGATCAAGAGCAATTTCAAAGATATATTTATTTATTATTATTTTTTTTTGTCTTTGTCTTTTTTGTGACTGGTAAGGGGATCACAACCCTTGGTGTGGTGTCACCCGCACCGTGCTCAGCCAGTGAGCGCACCGGCCATTCCTATATAGGATCCGAACCCGTGTCGGGAGCGTCGTTGCGCTCCCAGCGCCGCACTCTCCCAAGTGCGCCACAGGGCCGGCTCTCAAAGATATATTTATGACCCTGGCCTTTCTTCCTCCTGTAAAATATTTTCTTGAAGTGCCTATTTTTACTTCTTTCCTGAGAAGCAAGGGGAATTCACGCAAAATGAAGTAATGGATTTTGATCTACATGACCTTCTTCCTCTGAACCAGTTGTTCTGAGCAGAAATTAAATACATTCACTTATTTGATTACCTGAACAGCTCAGTTTATTTCTTTGAAGGAGGAAGGAAGCTGACTAAAACATTTCTTTTTTCTGAAGTTATTTTCATCTTGTTTCTAATGTTACCCTAGTAAAATATTTTCTATTAAAAACTTATTTTAAAAAAAAGAACTTAGGGCCGGCCCGGTGGCACACTCAGTAGAGTGCGGCGCTTGGGAACGTGGCTGCGCTCCCGCCGAGGGTTCGGATCCCATATAGAGACCAGTCCGCTCACTGGTTGAGTGCGGTGCGGGCGCGACACCGAGGGTGGCGATCCCGTTACTGGTCACAAAAAAAATACAAAAAAAAGGAAAAAAAAAAAACTGGTAAAAAAAAAAACGAACTTAAAGTCAGGGTAGTGATTATTTATAGGGAGAGGGAAAAGGGACCGTGCGTGGGGGTCTGGGGTAACAGCAATGATTTTCCTTGACCTGGATCATGGCTATGTGGGTATTTGCTTTTTAATTATTTAATACATTGTACGTTTGTGTTTTGTGCACTATTCTGTATGTGTATTCTATTGCATAAATTTTTAAAGTTTAAAAAAACTTAACAAATGGTACATTAAGGCAGAGTAATGGTTACTTTGGGGAAGGGGGAAGGGATGAGGGTTGGAACTTCAGCAGTACCTGTGGCACTTTATTTTAAGAAGGCAAGAGATCTTAAGCAAAAAGTGCAAAAATGTTAACATCTGTTTACCCTTGGGGGTGGATGGGTGAATTATTTTCTTAATTTTTCTGTATTTTTAAGATGTTTCATAAAATGTTTTATTATTATTATTTTTTTTTTGGCAGCTGGCCAGTACAGGGATATGAGCCTGTGACCTTGGTGTTATAAGGCTATGCTCTGATGAACTGAGCTAACTGGCCAGCCCTCATAAAATGTTTTTAAAAACATCAGACTTAGGGGCCAGCCTGTGGCTCACTTGGGAGAGTGTGGTGCTGACAACACCAAGGCCAAGGATTTGGATCCCCTTACTGGTCATCTTTTAAAAAACAAACAAACAAACGAAACATCAAACTTACATCTTTCTTAGTGATCCTTTTGTTTTGCCGGCTTCTTTTTACTTATAATGGTAAACCTTGTAATATAATTTCAATTATCCTGGTTTCTCAATTGCACCTGTTACAATGTAGGTCAAAGTGAATTAACCTTTAAGGTAGTCTTAGTATTTAGAAGGCATTTCTGCAGACAGAATTGCCTTTTGCTATATTTATAAAGGTGTTGTGAATAAGAATTCCGTACCATTTAGCACAATCCAAGAGAAGCGTGAGTGTGGTTTAAATAGAAAACCTAATTGGTTTTCCTAGTTCATTATTCTATCTCCTCTTGGCACCAAGGGTTATTATACTCTGTGCTGTAATTCAAAAAATGTAGCAGTGTATGCTAACCAAATCTATGTAATATTTTCAACCTATACAATATATCAGATGTGTTAAAGTCAAAATGTTTACTGACTGCTTGTTTAAATAGTACTTTATACAGTCCTCAGTGTACTTTTTTAGGCTTTAACATTTCCCCCAGTTCTAGTGTTTTATCATCTGATGAGCAAATCATGATTTTTTTGAACAATTTCATTGGCCTGGATTTTTTTTTTTTTCCCTGAAACCTAGGACATTGGCATGGATTTTTTCATCCAGTCAGTTGCTCACATGAAAGCTGTTTTACCCTTTAGACATTTTATTATTCTTTACACTTCTTCTTTTTTTTTTCTTCTTTTTTCTTTATACTGTTGTTGGCAGGGCTGTAGGTTGAATCTCGAAACACCATTTCAGATGGCCCTTGGATCAGAGTGATGGAGTCTTGATGGGCATATGTTTTTGGTGGATTGATTACTGCTCTTTCTTTTCCAGTCCCACCTTACTCTGGCTCAGTGAAAGTGTTGCTGAGATTTACATATGGAAAGGCAGTTGTCATCTAATCAAAGAGGTTTATGTGTAGACCTAAAGCAAAAGCGAAATTACTGCTTGAGACCAAGTTCCTTTATGTAAAGGAAAACTAAGATAAACTTGAGGTAACCAAGTACCCTAAATATGTTTCAGATGTAGCCTAATGAAATATAACAGGGGATTGGTACTACACTTACTGTCTTTTTTTTTTTTTGTCCTTTTTTGAGACCGGCCGCACCGCGCTCAGCCAGTGAGTGCTGTGAGCGCACCAGTCATCCCTATATAGGATCCGAACCCACAGCGGGAGCGCTCCTGCACTCCCAGCGCCGCACTCTCCCGAGTGTGCCACAGGCTCGGCCCTACACTTACTTTCAAAAACTGCTTATACAGTTAAGGAGAAAGGCCTGTTCAGGGCTGAGAAAACTATTAACCTTTATAAGAAAGAGTTCTGTATATCTGAACAAGAATTAAGTTGAAATCTGTTAGAATAATGTAGAAGAGACAGGTAGATAATTTTATCAACCGAGTGAAAAATGAAGTCTAGAAATGAGTGAGAATTTTTAAAGAGGCCTGAAATTATTAGAGTTAATTCTAGCCAAGTACTTGGAATTTGGCCAAAAGACATCACTTTGCTTAATCTTGACATTTGTTCTCTTGCCTGTGGTTTTTACAAAACATAATTCTTTTTACAAAAGAAAATGTTTTCTATTTTTTTTAATCTGATGTGACTAGAAAATAATAAAACCGATTGTTCATAATAAGGAGCTCAATTGTCTGATTCTTTTATTTTCACCTAGCCCACATTTTATTTTTAAAATAAACTAGAAATAATATTTCCTCTTCTGATTTAGTCTGGGCTCTGGCGGTGTTCATGTTTTCTTCTCTAGAAGAAGAAAAAAAAAACTCTCTTCTTTGTTTTAGTAATGGTCAGATACAAAAGGAAAAGTGAGGTGATTTCAGCTATTCAGATTTAACACCAGTTCTCTCTTCTTTTGTAAAGTGAAGAAAAGAGTCTTGCCCTAATTTGTTATTGGTCCTGCATTTTCCATAAGAAGAGTAGGAACCCTAGGCTATGTTTTTACCAACTTATTTTCTGTTAAACGTGTGTGTTTAGTAAATAATGTTCTTGGAGAGTTTTTTTTTTTTTTTTCTGTGTCCGGCAATGGATCGCAACACTCAGTGTCGCACCCGCACCAGACCGGGACCGGCAATGGGATCGCAACCCTCGGTGTTGTGCCCGCACCTCGCTCAGCCAGTGAGCGGGAACCGGTCTGTATG